CCCCCCCCCAAGTCCTGGAATACATTTAATATTATTGGGAACTTGAACGTAGTAATACATCAGTTGCTTTATAGGTTATTATTGTGGTTAACACTACCCAGTAGGATGCATGCTTCGTTTTTCCTTTTTAGTTTCTTTTCTGAGACAGTCTTATTGTATATCTCAGGCTGGTCTTGAACTTACAGCAATGCTCCTGGCCTCAGGCTGCTGAGCCTTCCTGCTAAAGGAAGGCAGGGCAGTGTCTTCAGGGAAGCGCTAGTTCTGCGCTAGTTCCCTGCGGTACCCATCCTGTTGTGTGGCCTCTGCCTCAGTCTGAAAGAAAAGTCACTCTAACCACCCATGTCCCCATCAGTTTATTGTTCATGCATCCTGGTGGAGTTTTGATAAATTAAAATCTAAATGATTTCCCAGGTCTGTGAAATCTGGTAATAGTGTTTGATACTTACAGGAAATAGCACAGATGTTTGTGAGAGTTGGAATGTGTGAACAAGCCGTGAGCGCATTCTTGAAGTGTAACCAACCGAAGGCTGCGGTGGACACTTGCGTACACCTCAACCAAGTAAGGAGCAGACAGTGGTCATTACGGGAGATTGTTGTCTTAGGGATTAAGTGAAAGTCACTGAAGTGGTCTCCAGTGTGAGTTGTGGAGGGCTAGGCAGGGATTTGGGAAAAGAAGCCTAGCTCGTGGGCGTTTGCACTTAACCTCTTATGTCCTGCTCACAACTTAGCCAACCAAGGAACACAGAACAGACCTGTGCTTTCTAATTTCACAGTTTCCTGCGTTTTGTTAGGGCTGGGTTTTGTTTCCAGGAAAGGACCAGGTTAATGGTCATTCATTGCTGAAGGACAGACCTGAACCACTTGATCAATATTTATTTTGGCAAATCTATTTCCTTTTTCTTTTATAGAAAACATGTATTTGATATTTTTTTAAATTCTGAAATTTAGCTAAAATAAGTGCAGAATTATTGCAGAAACTGTTGGCTATCAGTGCATTCCTTTAGGCATTTCTTTGAAGTGTTTTTATAAAGATCTATTTGCTTATAAACATAATCTGTAAATGTTAAATCTAATATGATACCTTCTTAAATGGAACTGTATATTTATTTTACATGAAAACTAAAAAATGGGTTCTTTTTCTGGCTTATAATATGTGCAAAAATAGAACTGTAAGATTCATGTGATTATAAAATTTGATACTTTCATTTTCAAATGCACTTCTCCAAGTAATCCGTCTTAGATTGTTCAGTTATTTTGAAACGTTTGCTTGTATACTTATGCTTGCTCTGATTGCAGATCACTTCTAGACTATGTACTGGTTTTGCTCTATTTTGAAGTAGTATTAGCATTCATTAAAAGCTTCGGAGCTTATTGTGGGACTTCCAGGATGTAGCTATTGAAATATTGGGTGACTGAGTGTTACAATGCTTTCCCAGTGGAACAAAGCTGTTGAATTGGCCAAAAGTCACAGCATGAAGGAAATTGGATCTCTGCTAGCTCGGTATGCAGCGCATCTGCTGGAGAAGAACAAGACCCTCGACGCCATAGAGCTCTACAGGAAAGCCAGCTACTTTTTTGAAGCGGCCAAGCTGATGTATAAGGTAATGCACAGTCCTGCTGGACATTTGTTTCGTTCCAGTCACAGCTTGTTTTTAACTTTAAACCTTACTATTAAAAAATTTCAAATAAATGACACGTACCAAAATCAAGCAGCCCCAAAGCCTTATGTCTCAGTGGACTTCCGTGCAGTTAGACTAGCCATTCAAGTGTATTTTTATGCACTTACCTACCACCACCACACCGGAGAAGTTCACGGCAGAATTGGAACTAGAACAATTAGCTTTATATCTTCTTTTATAGCTCTACAAAAAAACATTCTCTGTTTTCTTTGTAAACAAGTGTTTGTCACAGCAAAACCACTTCAAGTCTGCCTATTGCTACCATCTGCTAACAAGGGTAGTTATGGATGCCAGCAACTTGTCAGCTCGTAAACAACTGTGTATTTGGTACAGAAGCTAACCAAGAATTTAAGAATTTTCTGGGATTGCCAAAAACAAATTCTTCTAACTGGAATTAAATCCTATTGATAAGAAAGTTAAAAGTCCTTGTAAAAATGTACACATTTTAAAACAACATATTTCTTTAATATCCATTATACAATATTAATATACATAATTTTTACACCTCATTATCCTCTTTTCTTGCTTGACTTCATAAAAGAGAACATTTTCCTCAAAATCATTTAAATAAACTTCTGAAGGGCACACCACTCTTTCCACTCTGATTTAGTTATTTAATGGATGTTATTTTTAAGATTGTTAGTTTCTATTCAAGTGACGGAATACTGAAGAAAAGACAATGGCTTTTAAAGTCTTAAACATAATTGCACTTATATTCCACCCTACATTCTTCCCTCATCTTTTAAGAATCAAATTTCGGTTAACTTTGGAAATGACTCTGTTTGTACAAACATACAGCAGGAAGTATGTGTCCCAATTTTTTGAAATGTTTAAAGATTGCCGATGAAGAGGCCAAGAAGAGAACGAAGCCTTTGCGTGTGAAGAAGCTCTATGTGCTGTCGGCCCTGCTCATCGAGCAGTATCATGAGCAGATGAAAAACGCCCAGCGAGGGAAAGTTAAAGGGAAGAACTCGGAGGTAACGGAGAATGTTTCCATGCTTCAAAGAACAGCAATGCCAGGTCCTCTCCTGCTTCTCTCCCTGGACAAGCCCTGTCCTCTCTAGGCTGTGTTCAGTTCTTGCAGGAGCTTAGAGAACAGCAATGCTCCATTTAGAGCAGGTATGCAGGCTGAGACATTTCTCTTTAGAGATGTGCAGAACCGTTTTTCTTTAAGGCTATCTTGTTGAATGCTTTACTTTTGTTAAAGTGTTTTTAGTCAGAGAATTTAAAAAAACTTAGAATATTCTATTTTTAATGTAAATGAATCTTATTACATTAAGTAAATTTCACATTGACTTAAAGTTTAATCAGGTCTCTTTTAAGCTTTGATCTTAATTTAGAAAGCCGTGGGTTGTGATAGAGAACTCGAACCCGTGACGGCAGGAGAGATGACAACATCTCCCGGGGAGCTGTGTTGATGTCTTTCTTAGTTTCAGACCTCACCTCCATAGTAATAGCTCTCTTGTGCTATGCGGGCTGAAACTGTCTGTGTTTGGACTGACCCAGTGTGCTGGCTTCCCTCCCAGGCCACTTCTGCCTTGGCTGGCTTGCTAGAAGAGGAAGTTCTCTCTACAAGCAGTCGGTTCACAGATAACGCTTGGAGAGGAGCTGAGGCTTACCACTTCTTTATACTCGCCCAGCGGCAGCTCTATGAGGGCTATGTTGACACGGCCTTGAAGACAGGTGGGCACGTCACATAATGTGTGGAGGACATCCCAAACTTTTTAAAAACTTGTTTTTATTGAGCTATATATTTTTTCCACTCCCCTCACTTTCTCTCCCCTCCCCTTCTACCCTCTTCCATGGTCCCCATGCTCCCAGTTTACTCAGGAGATCTTGATTTTTTCTACTTCCCATGTATTTAGATCCATGTATGTCTCTCTTAGTGTCCTCATTGTTGTCTAGGTTCTCTGAGATTATGAATTGTAGGCTGGTTTTTCTTTGCTTTATGTCTAAAAGCCACTTATGAGTGAGTACATATTATACTCACTCATAATTATTTGTTCTTTTGCGTCTGGGGTTACCTCACTCAATATGTTTTCTAGATCCATCCATTTGCCCACAAATTTCAAGATGTCATTTTTTTCTGCTGTGTAGTACTCCACTGTGTAAATATACCACATTTTCCTTATCCATTCTTCAGTTGAGGGGCATTTCCAGATTCTGGCTTTGACAAATAACGCTGCTATGAACGTAGTTGAGCACATGTCTTTGTGGTATGAATGAGCATCCTTTGGGTATATACCCAAAGGTGATGTTGCTGGGTCTTGAGGTAGGTTGTTTCCTAATTTTCTGAGAAATCACCAAGTGACCTCCATGGGAGCAGGCCCAGATGACCTCTGGGACTGCAGAGCACCATCCTGAACTGAAACTGAACTGGAAGAGCCAGCATCTCCATGTGTCTTTGTATTAACTTTACTCTTTCCCCCTCTGCTTTTAGCTATATATGTCCAGATTGTGCCTTTAGTTTATTTAGTGAATTCTTCTTTTTGAAGTCCCCCCACTTTAAAAACACAGTGCACAGTGTCCACAGAAATATATGCCTTAGATAACATGCAGACACACGTGTGGTGTTCATATGTCTTCTGTTCAAAGCCAGACACTTGGCTGCCCAGCCCATAGGACTGTAGAGATAGACACTGTGCCTGTGTGGAGGAGCTCTCTCCTCTCTCAGAATGTGGGAGAAGCTTGAAGAGGCCTGCTTCTGTGTGCCGTAGCAATGCTTGAAGATATTTTCATGACATTCACATTTCTACAGTATTTATCTTTTTTATAAAGTGATTCTTGTTTAATAATTTCAACCAAAATAGAGAAATGCTAAAAGACAAAATAATGACATAAAAGAACTTTATAGCTAAGAGATAACTGTTGTGAACATTTGAGTAATGTTTTTTTTTTCTCGTTTTAATTAGAAAAATCACATTTATCCAGTTAGGTTCGTGTGTGTGTGTGTGTGTGTGTGTGTGTGTGTGTCTCTGTGTGTATGATGGCCTGTGTGTGGAGGTCAGAGGACACCTGTGAGAGCTGGTTCTCTCCTTCCACCATGTGGACACAGGGAATTCGACTCAGGTCATCAGGCCTGATGGCAAGCATCATTTCCATGAACTTCCTATGAGACATTTTTCCACATCAGAACTTAGTTTTCCTCCTCAGGAGTGTGTTAGGGGTTGCTCCCTCATTGCCCTCCACAGGAGTGTGTTAGGAGTCTTTCTCTCATTGCTAAACATAGATCTCTGACAGTTTTGACAGCTACCTCACAGTCTATGGCTTTTATGGACTGTCATTCATACATTATTTACATACAGTATAAATGCACATTTCTTCTGGATTAACGATATCTAAGGGCTTAGATATTTCTTTGTATTTACTAACTCCAGTGAGTGTAGTTTGTAAACTAAAGCATGTGCCTGCCTGCCTGACCCACGACCGCAGAGCCACCATTTACCCCACACCTTTGCCTTTTCAAGCTCCAGGTTCGTAGTGTGTGAATGGGAGATGAGCTTCCCTGCCTACTAGAGATGATCTCGTGGTGGATTATGTGAGCCTTTCTGGAGAGGGAGGTTCATTTAGAGAGCCCAGGTTCTGTAGCATCTGTAAGCAGCAGCTGGGAGGAAGAAGTTGTTGGAGGTGCCCTCAGGCTTGTCAGTCTTTTTCTTTGTTCTTTTTTTAACAGAGTAGAATGATGCATTGTCTTCAAACTATTTATTTAAAATGTAGTCTTGGGGCTGGAGAGATGGCTTAGCAGTAAGAACACTTGCTGCTCTGTCCTGAGGACCAGAGTTCTGATCCTAGCACCCACGTCTGGTAGCTCACAAATGCTTTTAACTTCAGCTCTAGGGTGTCCAATAGCTTCCTCTGGCCTCCTCAGGTCTGCACTCATATCCATGTGCTTACTTCCCCACCCACAGACACACACAAATACAATAAAAATTTTAAAATGTATTTTCCCCTCACAGCTCGGAAATTCTATCTGTGTGTGTGTGTGTGTGTGTGTGTGTGTGTGTGTGTGTGTGTAATGAGACAGAACTTGCTGTCCTCTTGCCTCTGCCTGCCAAGTGCTATAATTAGAGGCATGACCACCACCGTGGTTCCGCAGACACATTCTTCATTCTTCCCCAGCACTGTCCTCTTCCTACCTGTAATGGCTTATCATGATGATGATGATGATGATGATGATGATGATGATGATGTCTGTGATTGTATGCCATTTCTGTGCGAGTGCCAACAGAGGCCAACAGAGGGCGTCAGATCCCCTGGAGCTGAGGTTATGTACTCTGCTTCCTCCTGCTGCTGTGCCTGGCCCCCAGGAGTTTTTATTTTTTAACATTTGTCAAACCTCATGTAGGTTGCGGTAGAACAGTGTCCATGAATCCTGTCCCACACGTGTTCATACTGTGCTTCTCTTTGCCGATGCTCATTGCCCATCTTTTGTAGCTCTTCATCTGAGAGACTATGAAGACATCATTCCCTCGGTTGAGATCTACTCGTTACTAGCACTCTGTGCTTGTGCGAGCAGAGCTTTTGGTACCTGTTCCAAAGCTTTTATTAAACTGGAATCATTAGAGACACTCAGTGCAGAACAGAAGCAGCAGTATGAAGACCTGGCTCTGGAAATCTTCACCAAACACACGCCAAAGGACAACAGGAAATCGGAGTTGAACAGCCTTCTTGAAGGGTAGGTGCATCATAATTAGATGCCATTTACCTGATTAGAAGCTTGGGTATAATAAAGTTCTGGATTTTGAAGGAGTTTATGTTAATATTAAAATCAGTTTTATCCTAGAAGGGTATAGTAATGTTGTATTTTTTTTCATTTAAAGAAAAGGTTTTATTAAAAAAAATTGAGATGAGGTATTTTATTTGAAGTTTGTCTTGGAATGTTTTTCATTCTTCAGGATTTAAAGTATATTAGATAGTTAGACCAATCACATATTTTAAAGTCTAATTGTTTTCTCTCTTATTTTTTTGCAGTGGAGAAGGAAAACTGCCGACATGCATTGCCACTGGAAGCCCAATCATCGAGTACCAGTTCTGGGTGTGCAAAGTGTGCAAGCACTACGTTCTTGCTCAGGAAATCAGTAACTATAACTTCTGTCCTTTATGCCACAGTTCGGTAGAATAAAGGGAAGAACCTTGTTAATTGTGAAATACATGAAATATATGTACTTATCTGCACATGTGTATGAAATAATGCTTGATTTCCTTAGATTTCATATGAAAATCAGTTTTTTTATCTTGTAGTTGTATTTTTGTATAAAAGATATATCAAACAATAAAATGAGGGCTGGAATGTAGCTCAATGGTAGGGTGCTTTCCAAGCATGCACAAGGCCCTGGGTCCATTGCAATACTGGAAAAAAAAAAAGATAATTCATGTATTACAGTTCAACTGTGAGATAATTTGACTAATTTTCACATAATACCTACAGATGTGAAGTTAATTTTTCCTGTATTTCCTGTCTGTCCATTTATCATTTATATAGCTTATAGTTTGTGGCAAGTTATCACGGAAATACTCTCCACCAGGAATATTTTTCTCTTATTGTCAAGGTTACTAGTTCATTAGAGAACCCTCAAGAGGCAGGTGGAGGAGGCAGGGGAGGGGCAAACCTGAAGCAGAGAGTTGACAGACCCTGTATTTCAGGGAGGTTGAGCAACTGTTGTATGAAATGAGCTCTATTCCAGCTCTGTTTCTATCTCAGGATTAAACTCATCTGTATTTTATTTTCATAAATGAGGAGATGGCATTTTAAGACTTATTATTTGAAGTTTTAAAAAAATATTTTATCCTCATTCAAGAAGAGGAATTTGGCACCCATTTTTCTTGTAATAAACATGAACGAACTGATTTTGAGTAATGCTGTTGTTTCTCATCATCAAACATATCCCCAGTTATGCTATGGTTCCAAGTACTCTGGAGGCTGAGGTGCTGAAATGTGGAACCAGCAGGTAAGGCCACACAGGCGAGCAGTGAGCCTGAGTGCACATTCCGACCTGCTAGTCACAATACGAAGGTTGTTATATTTTGCTAAAATGAACTTTAAAATAACCTTTCTGTATTTTCAGAGTTCAGATCTTAGGTTTTTATGAGATTTTATTTGAAATAAACACGAAAACTATAAATTCTGAAGGAAAAAAAATGGCATGTTTACTTGCATGTTTTCCTTCTCTATAATGTATAAAAATGTACTTGTGTTGTCTTTGTTTAGATATTTTGGGGCACACACACACACACACACACACACACACACGCTCACATCACATCACATTTGTTATCACATGGGAGACAAACCTAACAGTTTTTAGGCAAATTCCTGGTGATTGTCCGTGGCAGAGAATTGTGAGAATTGTGCCCAGAGATCACACAAAGTTCACATTCAGAGACAAGTTTAAAGTGGTTACAAAGACAACTTTGTTGACATAGCTTCATACTCTCATTCTGGGAATCCAAAATGAAAACAGCAATATTATGTTGCCCTCTACTGTCTATTTCTGTAATTATTTTCTCAATGTTTTAAGGAAGTATTTTAACTATGAAAGTAATATGCTCATAGTATTAATTTTTGGAAATATGTAAGAATATAGATGAGAAAGTAAAAATAGCCTTAACTTTTTAAGAAATAGTGTTCATTTACATTTTAGTTGAATTTCAAAAAAGAGATGAAATTGAAAAAATGTGTATATTACTAACAAGTGTTTCACAAGAACTGTTTGTTCTTATGACATTTCTCTAAAATTAAAAATACATTAAAAGACTAAGCTTATTTAAGCACTTTCTTATATGGTACACATTAAATATCTGGTTAGTAAAATTTAGAGAAATTTGAGCCAGGGAAGATAGAAGTCAGGTTCTAGTACCCACATAAAAACAGATGTTAGTAGTCTGCCTGTCACCCCAGCAGGTGGGAGGTTCAGGTGGGGTCTCCTGGGCAAGCTGGTTAGCTGGACTAGGAGAACTGTTAGCAAGCACTGGGGGTCAGCATGAGACCCAGTAAAGTGCAGAGCAGCCAAGGGAGATAGATACTCATCAACCTCTGGTCTCATACCCATGAACATGTGCACACACATGTGAAAAGACACACAGACCCATTAAAAAATAAAATATAGACCTGTTAAGAAATGAAAGCAGAAGTGAAAAGGGTGAGAAGAGATATGCCACATGAGTGGTCAGGGCTAGAAAGCCCATATGGTCTCACTAATAGCAGTTACAGTAAAAAGGGCTTCAGTTTTTCTGTGTGCAATTGAGAAGATCACACAGTTTTTCTTCCATTCTGCTAATGTGGCATGTTACACTGATTAGTTTTCACGGGTTGAGTTATCCTTGTATTTCAGGAGTAATTCCCATTTGGTTACAGTTTATAATTCTTTCACTGTATTGCTGCATTTGATATGGTAGTCTTTTGTTAAGTTTTCTATTGACGCAGACTGGAGAAATGGTTTAGCCATTAAAGGATAGGCTCACAACCAAAATGCCAAGTTTGGCATTAATGTATTCACAGAGGATAAGGTCTGTAATTTTCTTCTACTGAAATGGTTCTCAGTCTGTGGGTTGCAACCCTTTTGGAGTTGCCTAGGACCACAGTGCCTAGAAACACAGATATTTACATTGTAATTCCTAACAGTGGCAAAATTACAGTTATGAAGTAGCCACAAAAATGATTTTATGGTTGGGGGTCACCACAACATGAGGACCTGTATTATAAGGTTGCAGCATTAGGATGATTGAGAACCAGTGCTCTATTGTCTCCTAAGTATTGACATTGCAATTCCAAGCATTGCTTTACAGAATAATGTATGATGTGTTTTTTCCTGTTGTTTTTAGAATTTAAGGGCTGGTGTTGACTCTTCCTTAAATGCTTATAATCACTGGGGTAGCCAGCAGATCTAAAACATCAGTCTCTCCCAGTTAGAGGTCTATTGACATTTTCTAGTTCTTCATGAGTCAACATTGGTTTCTATTGACTTCCCTAGCCATCCTTTACAAAAAAACAAAAAACAAAAACAAACAAAAAAAAACCCAACATGATACTAACCATTATCTAACTTAAAAAGACTTTGGTGCCAGGTAGTGGTGGTGCACACCTTTAATCCCAGCACTCATGATCAGAGGCAGGCAGATCTCTGAGTTGGAGGCCAGCCTGGTCTACACAGTGAGTTCCAGACATCCAGGGCTACACAGAGAAATCCCATCTTGAAAAAAACTAAAAAACCCTACACCAAGCAAAAAACTAAAAAGACTTTGCTTTCCTGCTAAGCTGCAAGGTTCTGAGGACAAAAAGCTTTGTTCACTGTATTAATCCCACTTTTAAAATCTGTGTGCACTGTACTGTAGACTTAACATATACTTGTTCAGCAGGAAGTTCTGCTTATTTTCCAAGTCTTTCTTCTCTGACCTTTACTTTTATACCTAATTCCACCAAATGCCTCATAATATCTATTTTGTGTCACTGTGACCATGTTAGTCTGGGTCACTTAAAAATGAATTCATTCGATTCAGTTTTGGGGGCTGATAAGTCCATGTATGTATAGGCCTTCTTGCCTCACCATAGCATGGTAAAAGCCATACAAAGAACAGGTGTGGAGCAGTGTGCCTTTTAAATGACTGACAGTAGCCCATTCCTGAGGGTGGAGCCCACCCGTACTGGGCCACACATCAGCACATGTCTAAGTTAAGATTCCCATTCATGAGCTTGGGGCGGGGTGTACATGCAAACTACAGCACACCTTTTTTTTTTTCTAGGATTTGGACACTCTGCTCTACTTAATTACATTCTTCTTTTTATTTTTGGAACTTTTGTTTTAAATATATAGCTTTTAATTCACCCAGAATCAGCACATAAGCACCGTATCTTAAGTGCTTTCTTAAAAACAAACGACCCTCTCTAGACTAGGAACTGACTTCAGGGCCAATCTCCTCCCTTCCTCGCATCAGGCTCCGCAAATAAATATATATGCACATAAGCATATCTAATCCCTATCGGTTACCTACCTACCCATCCATCCAGCTAGTATGTACGTATGCATGCATGCATGCATGCACACACGCACGCACGTACGTATGTATGGACTTATACACACACGCATCACCGAGATTTTAATTCTCTTAATTTCCCGCCAGCTTCGCCAGGAGCTGGCAGTTATCTCGCGATATGATGGGTCCTCATACAGGACAAACTTCCTCATTCTATAGTGTCCCGCTTCCGTTGGCCAATGAAGTCCGGTGTGCGGGCGGCTGTGGTTCCGCTTCTACTCGAGCAAGGCGGCCATGGCCGAGCCGCCAGACCGAGAGAGCAGGGAGAGGCCGGCAGCCCTGGCGCTGGCCCAGGCTCGCTTCGCCAGAGGCGAGTTTGCCGAGGCGCAGGCGCTGTACTCGGCGTTCATTGGCCAGTGCGCGAGTCGCGGGAGGTAACTATCGCGAGACGGGGACCGCGCGGGGTGGTCCTCGCACTGACGCGGTCTTCGGACCCCGGGCGGCGCCGCTGAGCCGGGACCGCGTATCCGGGGACCGGTAGACGCTGGTCTCTCCAACGGCCAGGGGAAGCCGCGTCCCCGGACCGGGAAGGTGGCCCGGCTGCGCCGCCATCCTAATGATCCCGGCGAGGGCTTTGCGAAGGTTCCGGTTCAGAAGCTAAGGATTCTAAATAAGACAGCCTATAGCACCCCAAGATAACTTTCTACCGAATTTCTAGCCGTCGGTGGCATTTTTATTGACCAATAAAGCTCTCTGTCATTTGGATGTTTGGGTTTGAGAAGATACACATCTGAGCGCCTGAATTGATCCAGATGTCTGTGAAAGTTCGTCTACTAAAATTTTGACATCTAGGGGTTCTTGACTAGGTTCCTGTTGTCTGCCAGTTGAAGAATTAAAAGGCAGTAAACATCTCAAGTCAGGGCAGGTAGCAACAGGGAAAACCTCAAGAACAGCTAATGAACGAAATTACAGCTAAGGACAGACATAACCAGCCAAGGGATTAGGAAACATGGAGCAGGCAGAGCAGAGGGGGATTTCAGGAATCCCCAAATCCAGTGTTCTGGGGTTTTAAGGGACTGAGGTTGGTTAGCTTGAACACTGGTTGGCTGAAAAAGTCCTCAACTTTGTCCTAAACATGCCCTGACCCAGCTTTGAGCTTGTGTAGGAGAAGAGCAGATCTATCAGCAGGGGGCCTTACTGCTGGGAGAAAAGTCTCACCAGGCCTCCTTTTTAGGCTGCCAGGTTTTTGGGTCAGCAGGGTAAGGAGGAAGAGGGCCAGCTTGTCCTGGCTTCTTTCCTGATCTATCTACCTGTCACGGAATTCTTAACTCCCAGTCCCTCTGTGTTGGTTGTGAATTGGTCGTTAAATCTGGAGGCTTGATCCAACTCAGGAGAAACTTTCTGTCTGCCGGTTCACATTTCCACTGTAAGCACTTGAAGTCTGGTCTTACTCTTTGTGATGTTAGCAGGCCCATTAGCTTCTCTGCTGATGCCTGGGTCTGTAGCATTACTTATGTCAAATTTAGCTTTTGTTGTGCTTGTGGATGGTGTGACGTGAACACAGAGGAATAGGTTGGGCAATTTCTCGATGCTTGTGTGACCTGCAACATCACACTTCTCTTGGAAGGTTTTTTTTTGTTGTTGTTGTTTTTTGTTTGTTTGTTTTTGTTTTTGAGACAGGGTTTTCCTGTATAGTCCTGGCTGTCCTGGAACTCTATCTGTATACCAGGCTGGCCCTGAATTCAGAGATCCACCTGTCTCTGCCTCCCAGAGTGCTGGAATTAAAGGTGTGCACCACTATGCCTGGCTCATCCTAGAAGATTTCTTAATAGAATTCAAAGTTGTCTTTTGTGTGAGATCTAATACCGAAGGCTGCA